ATATATATATATATATATATATATATTGAGAATGTGAGAATCACCTATTTTATATTGTATTTGTTTAAGTGAAAAAAATCCATAATAACGACCGATTATGATAAAATCCACGACAATTGTATCATTGATGTACAATTATCTATAACCACGACAACTGATTATTCGATTATTAACATTGTTCATTACTTTTATGATAATATCCCTAACTAAAAATTAATGATGGAAGATACTCTTATTAAAGTGTAAATTATAACCGATCGACAAGAATTATGAGTTTCATAAAATATGCATAATATCCGCTCCTATTATTATGGATATTATAAAGCATCAATACAAGAAGCAAGATCAAGCTATTCTAAGGGACACTTAATTATTTCTACTATCATTTGCTCTCCGAAGAATACAATTGTTGCTAGAATTTATATACACTTGTTATAAACGACTATACATACTAACGACATTTTGTAATAGCGACAATAGTTACATAAGACGACGTCCATTATTGGTGTTATAGTTAATTGACGATAATTAAGATCGTCTGCGATTTTTACACTCGACGGGGTTTTTGTGTCACCAGTTAATAGTGTCATTTACTTTTTATTGCCTCGAAAGATTCAATCTTTAGTTGAAAACTTCACGATCCACCTCAAATCATTTTGTGCATTTGTGGTAAAAAGTAATAATATTTATGATGAATAATTTCAAATAATAGGGAAATTAATTAAAATAGTCATTTTGACAGGTTGGTTTCACCTTTTAGCCATTTCTTTACAAGGTTTACCAAATTGCTCTAGGTCTGCAATTCTAATTTTTTTGGGGGACTTGGGTAAAAAATGTAACTTTTTTTGCGGACCTGAGTGGGAAATGTAATTTTTTTGCGGATCTGGCTGAAAATGTATTTTTTTTCGCGGACAGAGAGAAAATGAAATTTGTTTTCATTTAGTTGGGTGCGTAATTGCAGACGTGGATCTTTATGGACCAGACCTATGACTATTTTGGTAAACTTGGAGAGAAAATGACTAGGAGGTAAAACCAATCATGAAAAATGATTATTTTAATAAATTTCTCTAAATAATAATTAACATTGTTCAATATAAACACTATAAAAATAGATGATTTTTAAATTCTCAAAATATTTAGGTCTTGTTTGGTTTGAAGGAATGAATTGGATATGAGGGAATTTGTATTTCAATTCCATTCCAATCCCATGTTCGGCTTCTTGAATTGTCCGGATTTGAAATCCTATGATTTAATTGAAATCCTAGGATTTAAATGAAATCCTTCAAACATAGAATTTTAAAATCTTTAGGAAGTGCTCAGGATTTCGTAGGATTGTATCATTTGGCCTAGCAGTATGTGAGTAGTGGTCTCCTAGGAGGTCAGAGGTTCAAACCTCATAAAATGTGATAAAAGTGTAAGTTTATTTGTTGTATATAAATATTATATACTTCAAAAAAAAGTTTTAAACAATGTTAATAACATTTGTTCTATAATAATCGATTATTAAAAATGTAATTCAATTATTTTTATAATTATTTATAATTTTTCAAATAAATTATTTGTACATAATGAAATCCAATTCTATTTCATTTCCATTCTAAATCCTACAAACTAAATACATCAATAATTCAAATTCATTCCAATTTAAATTCCTTTAAATCTACATTCCTTTATAAAATTTAAATCCTTTAAAAACAATCCTACGAATCAAACGAAACTAAAGTTTATAAATAAAATCAGGTATCCATTATTTACAATAAAAAAATAATTAACAAAAAAAAAGTATAAAAAACAAAAAACGATGTTGTGTCAATTGGACTTTTGGTTCGGTTCCACCTCACCCCATTTTATTGGGTTTTCTATTTTCATGCTCATCTCCTTTCCATTTTTATATTATTATTACTGTACTAATACCCATCACCCTTTCTAATTATAGTATCCATCACCTCTTTACATTATAATTATCAACCCTCCTCCTCCACCACCACCACCACTTCCACCGCCGTCCTCCTTCTCAATTTCCTCTAATGAAGATCCAGTGTGACGTCTGTAACCAAAATGAGGCATCCGTATACTGCTCCGCCGACGAGGCCGCCCTCTGCTCCGCCTGTGACCACAACGTCCACCACGCCAACAAGCTCGCCGGAAAGCACCCACGCTTCTCCCTCCTCCACCCTTCCTCTAAAGACTCCACCGTCTGTGATATCTGTCAGGAGAAGAAAGCTTTCTTGTTCTGTCAACAAGATCGAGCCATCCTGTGCAAAGATTGTGATGTTGCGATTCATAAAGTCAACCAACAGAAACTAAATCACCACCGGTTTCTTCTCACCGGAGTTAAGCTCTCTCCGACGGCGTCTCTTTATTCGCCGTCAACGCCTCCGGCGGCCATACCCACTGCCAAAAACCATCACAAACCACTTCCTTCTCCGATCGTGAATCAAACTCCTGTTAAAACTCACGACTGTAGTCACCAAGAATCAAATGGATCGGGTCAGGGTTCTACAACGAGTAGCATATCGGAGTACTTGATTGAGATGCTACCCGGTTGGCACGTTGAGGATTTTCTTGATCCTCCTCCAAATAATTTCTCAAAGGTCTGTAATTTTGTTATCTGTTATTTCATCAATTAAATCAGTTTCTTTGTTAATTAAATTCATGAAATCACAGGTTGTTGACAACGACCCGGCGTTGATTTGGGGTTGCGATGCACTAGACGGAAGCTTGAATGCTTCATTCTCGCCGGAATCAATGGGGATATGGGTTCCACAAGCACCGCCGCCGGCATCTAAACCACCAACACCGCCGCCGCTGTACGATCATCTGGTTCAACAGTTCGAACCCAGTTCGAATATAGGATTTGGCGATCAAACAGTGAACGGGTCTTCAATTGTATTTGCTCCAAACAATTACAATAATCTTAATAAGATGAAGAAATCGAGCAGAAAGTGGACATCCGACAATGGAAATTGCTTCACTGTTCCTCAGATCCGCCCTCCTCCAACAACCACCAAGAGATCAAGAACTCTTTGGCATTAAATTACTCGTCAAGATTCCTTTTTTTCTTGTTTTATGGTATTAGTTTTTGAAACTTTATTTGTTTCGATCCAAATGGGTTTTGGTTCTTGGATCATTTGGCTCTTTTTTTTGGGATAAAATAAAGGTTGTGTACGTAAACCCTGGTTGAATGGAATGATCAAGCTAACGGTAATTATGTCCATATGAGGTTTTGTCATCATAAATTAAGTGCATATTTGTTAGCATTTTAACGAGATTCGTAGCATATTCAGTAAAGTTGATTGATAAAAAAACAGCTGTTATCGATAAATTAGTTATCTTTAGTAAAGTTAACTAATAAAAAATTTAGTTGTCACTGATAAAATAATAATATCTGGCAGGCGGGTTTAGAGATGCACAAAAATCCCTGGTTCGAATCCTGATGCGGAAAAGCCGATCCTAGATCAACCCAGGCCATAACAACCAATCACACCAAGTATTTGTTTTCGATACTCGGTTAAAGCTTGAGGACTTTAAAACAAGTTTAGAAGGCTTAATTTTATGCATCTTTAACCGGTTCCTCTTATCTAACACAGACCATACATTGATGCACATATCCACTAGAACTGCATATTGTATTGTGTTTCTCGTTCTCAACCGAACATGATTATGGCGTACCACGGTCGTATTTTGAAAGATAAACTTTAGAAATAAGAACGAATACAAAATACGATCCATTTTGATTCAATTTATCCTTCTTTTCTGTACAAGATTATAGCATGATTCACATGTTTCTTTCGTTGACTAATTTCTCGTAGACAACAATGTTGTTGAAAAGTCATTATTTTCTATGACCCATAAACTTTTCACATGTGAACATTTTTTTCCAAATACAAATTTCGAAGTTGGACCGATCTTTAAAATTTTCAAACGTAATAAAACGAGCATTTTTTTTTCCAAAGTATATATTATGTATTTGTCGATCTTAATAGGACATTTTCTAGTTTTATATGGTTTGTTGGATTAAGGTGAAACGTTTCAAACTTGTAAGGGATTGTTTTTTTTTTTTCCGCTATGCAAGTCGACTAATTTCAGGGCGACCACTTGTTTTGCAGATAGCCTGTAGTCACCACATTTGAAGAATTTTTATTCCTCCTTGGATTTGAACTCATGACCTCTTGATACTTTTGACATTTTGAGTCAAGCTCAAACTAATTAGACACCACTTTTGTGGATGTAAGGGACTATTTTGAGAAGTTGGAGGTTGGTTCTTCATAGAGGGTTGCTGCTAGCAACTTAGCAGAACATTTATAGCATTGTTGATGGCTTATTCAATAAGCTATATGAAGCTCTTATTTATTGGAAACAACTCTCACTATGATCCAAGAAATGAGTGAAGATTTCTATAGTTTTTCATCTTTTAGGATGTCAAAACTTTCGTTTGTGGACGAATATTAGGTTATGTTTTTGTACAAAACTGTTGTATATTCCTAACTTTCGGTTAGAGGTTTCTGTATTGTCTCTCACGCTTTTTACAAATGAAAATATCAAATGGTATGCATCGATAAATATCAAAATATGATACTTGATGGGAATTCTCTTGAATTAGCATCGTCTCCATGCACGTTTCTTTTGATGTATGTAATCATCAAAATATATTTCAAGATTAGACGAGGGACAGAAACTTACACCAAGAAGTTAAATAAATCAATTAACCATCCGTAGCATATCAATTCACAAGAGATCAAATTTAACTAGTTTCTTTAGCTATAATAAGAATAAAATTATCATAAAACTAACGTGCCTTTTACCAAATGCTTACCAAGTCACTTTACTTTACCGGATGGATATGACAAAGAATAAGAATCTTACTCGGTAAGAGCAAAGACAGTAATCGAGAGTCTTACCCGGTAAGTGAGGAGGAGGACTCTTACCATGGTTAGCGCTTACCGGGATAAATTGTTGCACACGATGCATTTTAGTGAATAAAATCTTACTCGGTAAGTAAACAATAGTGTTGAATTTTACCGGTAAGTGCTTACCGGAAGTGTTTAGGTAAACGGCCCCTAAGTGTAGAGGATTTATAAGTCTGAGATGGTATCTGTTTTTTAAGAATTGTTGAAAATTGAAATTTTATTTCACCTTTTATTGATAAAAGATGATGTTGAATTTAAAAGCAGAATCAATAAAATTGTTTATTTCTGTAAACTGATAAATGTGAATGTATAAGCAAATTCAAAATTAACGATATTATCAACATTGGCGGATCTAAGATTAATGCCGAAATGGTGCATCTTTAAGACGGATCAAAGCCACGTAAAGTATGTGGAAAAGTCGATGCGGTTTGACATGGAAAAAGTTCATTGTATCGATTTGGGGAATCAAATCATTTTTCCAAATAGAATCAGCCTTTTTAGCAAGATGCAAGACTACATGCTAAGTATAAGTCCGACGTGTTTTTAGCTGAATTCTACTGTTGTTGAAAAGGGATGTTAAGATCAGAATTCCTACAAAAATCCCTCCACAAAAAAAAAAATGATGAAAACCCATATCGAATTAACTCCTCAATACACAAAGGAATTGCTTGTGTTGTTACATGACATGACTATCTCATAAGCCCAACAGAAGCCCACTGTGGCTGCCCAATCTCCTACCATTTGTTATAGGGTGTTTATGGGTTGGGTTGGGTTGATCGGAGTGAAATTATTTGAACAATTTAATGTAATTTCGTGGTTAGAAAAATCTCAAACCCAACATAGCGCAAACCAAAGTGCAAAACCGTATGGGTTGGTCAGGTTAGTCGGGTTGATACTTTAGTAAATACCAACAATTTGGTTTCTCCAGTGTACTCATAATTTTTTTTTTTAAATCCCAACAATTTGGTACAACTTATCCATACTTCTTAAAATCTTAAGTATATCACATTCAATTAATTTTTTCAATCTGCATATATATATATATACACATTTATTTTATGAAAATGGTTTTTTATCTTCATTTATTACGAAAGAATATCCACCTATGCAATATGTGTTGGATTTGGTCCCTTGTGCAAACGGCTGCCTATAAATCCGTTAAATAAGAGGGCAAAATGACCATCATTCCCTTTTCTTCCATTTAAACATTTTTTGATTGTTTTTCTTTTTTCCTTTTTCTTGAAAGTTCATCTTCTTACCCTTCGGAATGAAGATCAATCAAAGAGTTACTTAAATCAAAATTCAAAATCAAACCATGAACAATGAACAATAATTCAAAAAACAATTACGAAAACATCTTTACATTATTAATTTCGTCTTATTAAGAACATCAAGAAAACCTCTAAAAAATAAATCAAAAACAAAATATCAAGCATAAATAAAAAAAATCCAAATCTAAATCAAAATTAAGAACCTTAAATCTAAATAAGGAACAAATTTTCAAAAAGTTTGTGATATAACCCTAAATCAAACCCTACACTAAAACCAAATCAAACCTTAAAATGCAATTTTCGTTTGGGCGACTCTTTAAATAACATATGCGGGTAGGTTAGGTTACGGTTTCTTCGGGTTTGAATCTCTAGGTGTTCATTAGAGTGGGGGATGGGTGTTCATCGGAGTACAAGAGAGGGGAAAGGGTCTTCATCAGAAGAGGCATCTAAGAGGGGGATTTCATATCTGGTTTGACGAGATTTTCATATATGGGGAAGAACTTTGGTCCAGGTTTTCATATTCGACAAGAGAGGAATCTATGGTGGGGGTTTTCAGGTCTAGTTCAAGCCTCGTCATCTTCATTGGCAACATCCCACTCTCCAGTGGGTTTGGTTTGCGTCTAAGTGTCATGTGATTTGGTTTGCGTCTGTGTTGTATTGCAGATTTGATTGAAAATCATATTTGATTTATTTGTTTGATTTTTATGGTTCTTTATTCAAGGAAGATCATAAATAATTAAAAAAAAAAGTTGATTAAATAATTTGAAATAATTAATATGGCAGAAAAGGGCACAATTGTCATTTTATCTTATTACTTATTGGATTTATAGACAGCCATTTGCACAAGGAACTATATACAAGACAAATTGTATAGGTGGAGGGTTCTTTTGTGATAAATGAAGATAAATGATCAGTTTTATAAAAAATGACAAACCTCAAGGACCAAATTTGTAATTTACTTTAAAGTTTTTATGCATGTATCCTTATGAATTGATTTGAAATTATTATTGTAGAGATAATTTAAAAGTAATCAGTAAAATTAACGTGACACTTAAAAAATTTATCTGATAGTTGTACAATAACAGATGTCTTAAATTGTAGCTGATATGATACAACTGAAAGTCGGAAACACTTACAAGTGTGTGTGGTCTAACACACATAGGTCTTGTTTGTTTTTTTTTATAAAAAACTCTTATCAACATCTTATGTTTGATTCTTTAAAAGATAAAGTCATTCAAATTATTATTTTTTTATTTATAATTTTTCAGAGTCACTTATGTTTTATTTTCTCCTTGTCTGACAAGAGGTAAACCAACTTCTTATTTGCCTCTTATTGCTCCAACCTTCAACAACGACATTTCTCCATCGATTAATCTTAATCAATCATTTATCTCAATTGATCCTTACCAAATTAATAATTGATGTATCTTAATAGGATTTAAATGTGTTAAACACCGCTAATTACATATTTTTCATTTAATTGAATGTTGATTATACAATTTAGATGTAAATTTCATAATTATGATGAATAAATATGTGAAATTATATAAGTTTATCTATAAATTCAACACTATAACTTTTACTGGGTAAAATAGACAATTTAAACAAATTCAGACGTTTATCAATTTACAAAAACAAACAGTCTTATTGATTCAGATTTCAAACTTCAACATCATCTCTTATAAATCAAAAGTAAAATAAGACTTCAGATTTCAGCACCTATTAAAAAACAATCACCATAATTTTTTTTTGATAACTTGTCATACAGTTGTAATCTAGTTTTTTTTTTAAATGCTATAGTAAGAAGACAGATGTAATCAAAGTTACGGAATTAATAAGAATAACTAAAATATGATAGTCAAAGCATTTTCAAAAGTTTCTCGATAACTTTTCCAAAATAAAATAAATTACATTCAATTATAACAATTATTTTAGAGATTCATGTATCTTTTATACTATTTAAACATACGGGTGTTCAGAAAAATCATTAGACCATTTAAACCGCTTGAACCAAATCAAATTGGATCATTTTTTAC